GATTATATAGCGTTGAGTAGTAGTGGTGGAACTCATCGGTTATGCCAGTGGTGGTATGAACCTTGGCAGAACGACGGTTGGAGAGGAAAGGGATAAACAATCGCTGGAATCTAGGATGTAGGGTCCTGGCAAGATGGCGCCCACATTTATTAGCGGATTTCATAGCGCAATTTACAGGCTTTATCTCTAGCAATACGTGACTGAGCATCTAACATTGAAAGCAATTCCTGGCGAGCATTGCAGAGTTTTACAAAGGAAGAGGGGAGAGAATCAGCTTTATGCATATTCTCCAGAGTAGCTATAGAAGTTAGTAATTCCGTAATGCGCAAAGAACGGGCTTTTTTTAAGCCGAGAGCCATGCTTAATGCAAACACCGCAAATCACATAATTCAGGGAAGCCCACTGAGTTAATAGGTGGGTGGAGTCAGAGGCATGGTTCAGAACAATATCACATATGGTGCGTCTGATGTCGTTGAGACAGACTGAGTCCTGTAGGAGAGTATCATTGAGACGCCAGGAAAAGGGCGAACGCCTGTTGATAGGGGCACCTGCGGTAAAAAAGATGGGGGCATGATCCGACCATAAACAAAGAACTATGTGGGCAGAGGGGGAGCTCTCTAAGAGGGATTGGGAGACAAATAAGTAATCCAATCTACTGAATGAATTATGTGCCAGTGAGAAATAGGTATAATCCTTCTCAGAAGGGTGCAGAACACGCCATACATCTACCAGTCTAAGTTGATGCAATAAGTGTTTAAATTTGGAGTAGGATGAAGGGGATAAAAAGGACTTGCCAGAAGAGGAGTCGAGACTGGGAACCAAAGGTACATTGAAGTCTCCACCCAGGATTAGGTTGTGGTGTCCGAAACTCTCCACGTCAGAGGTGAGAGATGCAAGGAAGTTCAGTTGGTTCTGGTTGGGAAAATAAACATTAGCCAAAGTATACAAGGTGTCACAAAGATTCATTTTCAGGAAGAGATACCTGCCTCAAGGGTCTGATCGCTGCTGTAGGATCTCAAGATGAAGGGATTTGTGTATAGCTATAGACACCCCCTTGGATTTTGAGGAGGAATCGGTACTATGGGACCAAGTGGAAAAGTATTTGGTCGGCGAGTTCTGAAATTAGTTTCCTGTAGGAACAGAATGCCAAGTTTGCGTTTGTGAAAATGGTACAACACCTGGCTGTGTTTTTGGGGTGTGTTAAAACCTCGAACATTCAATGAGGCACACGACATGTGAGGCGTAGCCGTCATTGTGGCTTAAATAGAGGGTCTTGAAATTGAGTAAGCTTCCCAGGGTCAGAGAGAGAAAATTAGAACAGCCAAAAGAAAAGAAAGCAAGTAAGAGATGAAAAAGGAGGGAGCAGAGGAAGAGAAAAACCAAATAGACACAGGTAAGGGCTCCATCTAGTGGAGGAAAAAGAGAAATGCAATAATGCACACATCTAACCGGACCAAATAAATCTAGCAGTACGAATGCGGTCAGTGAAGCACTCACTGACGACCTAAGCGTGGGTAACGTAGAAGACACATAAGGCGTCTCCCGCTTCAGGGCGCAAACAACCTAATATACAAGGACATATGATAAAAATTTTAGAGTAGAATGATACAATAACAAAATAAATGAAGATAATACAGTACAATACAGGTTATTCGGAGTAGCATAAAGGTGACCATAAACATGACTATGAACAGCAGCAGCAGCAGGTGAAGGGAAAAAAAGGGGGGTTAAAAACTTAAAACCACATCACAGCATCTTCAAACTAGAGAGAAGAAGAGGCAGCGACAATCATCCTGTAGAACCGGGGCTCATCAGGGTGTAGCATAGAGGTAGAGGTGGTGTGGCCGTGACAAAGCAAAGGAGTTAGTCCTGAGGCACAGCACCAGGGGCAGTCCAACCGTGGGTGCAACAAGGGCAATCAAAGGCCAACCGGTGAGAGCGTCCAGACTTCTAGTAGGGAAGCAAAAAAGTCAATAACATGGTGAACACTGAACTTACGGCTTGGAATCCTGAGAAAAGGAGTAAATGACCACCTCTTCTGTAGGGGCAGCTCAGGTGTTTGGAGAGGTGGAAGCCCAACCAGATGATTTTTTGGAGACCTTCTGCCACAGAGACGGAGGGATGAAGCCAGGGAGGGTCGGGCTCCACAGGAGAATCCTTAGGTTTATTTAGAAGTTGGTTAAAGAGCACAATCGCAGCAGATTCAAAATTCTTGGATTCGATTCACTCAGGAAGGCTGCGGATGCGTATATTATTGCGGCGGTTTCTATTTTCCTGGTCATCCTGATTCTAGAGTATTAGCACTGTGTGTCCCTGCAGGGTGGTATCATGAAGCATCACACGGGTGTGCAGATCAGATGTGGTCTGTTCAATATCTTCTAAACGAGCACTTAAATCCTTTTTTAGGATGACCATTTCTTGTTTATATGTGTGCTCAAGACGTTGAAAACAGGATTCAATATCCTTTTTAGTAGGCTTAGCCTTAATGTAAGTCTTCATGTCCCAGCCCTCTTGTGAACTAAGAGAGGCTTGGGAAATGCTTCTTGACCCAGTTGATAGAGCCCTTGTATCAGTAGGGGAAGGGGAGTGCTGCGGGAGGCTGACCTGCTCCTGCTGAGCATCATCAGAACAGGCTGGTGAGTGTCCCGTCGGCACCATCTTGGAGCCTCGTGGAGTATCAGGCCCAAGGGCTGAAGAGGAAGAGCGCCCGAAAAAGCGATCGATATCGCGCGGAACGGGGCAGCTTTTCATCTGTCACCAATCTCTGGGCTGCTCCGAAACACGTTTCACTTCGCCATTCACCAAGCCATGCCCCCTTTTTCTAAATTAAAAGGTAAATGTCAGGGGACTGTTTAGACCCCTAATATTTCCCTGAAGCCCCCCCTAACAGTAAAAATAAATAAAAATGTATTTTAAAAAAACCTGCCCCCACACACACATATTATTAGACATGTGCAAAGACTTAAAAATATGTTTCAGGAGAAATTAACGAAATCCAAAAACGTTTTAATTTGTTTCATCAAACCAAAATTATTTTATGCTATTTAGGATTCAGCCACCGGCGTGTTGTGCGCATGCACACCGCCATTGTCACATGACACCACTCGTGTACGGTGCTGTCATCTTGGTGTATACCTAGGTTTACACCAAGATGGCGGCGCCTATGTGAAGTCATGCTCTCCTCCTCCAAGATGGGGGCACGCATGCGCAGAACATGGTCGCCGTGCATTCTCAAACAAATGATGTGCCCGAATACCTTTTCATATATTCGGGTCATTAACTTAACAAGTAGTCTAGGTTTTGTGTTCTGTTTTTTTGTTTTTACTTTTCTAGATGCACTTGGAAAAAAAAGGGTCTACATGACATCCTGACACTATTTCTATAGACTCTATTTTAGTTTGACATTTATTGTTTACCACTTGTTTGCCTACTGTTGTTTTATTTAACAAGAATACTTATATTGTGCTTACAAGTTTAGAACCTTTGAATAAAATTTTTATTTTTATCATACTTTTTAATTTGTTTCTTTGGGGCTTAACAAAATGGGAGTCTTTAAATGGTGCGGGTATTGGAGAAATGGGTGTGGCCACTGAGGGGTGTGGTCACTAAGGGGTGTGGTTACCAAGGGGGTGGTCACTTAGGGGCACTGTAAAGCTTTCTCGCACAGGGCGCCTGAAGGCCTAAGGCTGGCCCTGCTATGACCCAATATTTTTAGGCCGTAGTTCTCTTTAGGGTCACAGGAGAACCTCCTATCACCCCTATTGCCCACTATATGCTGACAGCACAAAGCCAAACTGCGGCCAGGAAATATCCCAACAACATTGTCAGGATCCAACCCCTGACACCTGATTGAAATCTGGCTCTGCCTCTCATGAGGCAGAGCCAGCTATGCCCGTCCCCTCCCCTCTCCTCCAGTGCTGACTGACAGTCACCTCTCTCTGCAGGGAGAAGATTGGGAACTGAGTGACCAGCGGTATGTGTTTGCTTAGTTCTTGATCTATAGAGCCAACATATGATGGCTTCAGTGTCACACGTCGGCTCTAATTGGGGGATGAGTGCATTTCACTCTTCCCACAATTCTCATTTATATATAAGTGTATGTTAGAATTTTTATTTTAAAAACCTGCAAAAAACTAAAGATGTCTGATCTTTTATCTGACTAACTCTTAGTGCTGTTTTTCCAGGCCTGGGGCCTCCATCTATTATGTGCTGTCCTGTAAGATGAGGAAAAAATTGATGACATTGATCAATTTAGATTATTCAGACTCTCAATTAAATTCTTTCTTAATTGTGCATATTATACATAAACACTGATAGAATTATGTGTACTGTGGCTCTAATAACCACAACAGAGAAGAAGCATTTCCCTTACTTGTCTGAAAGATAGGTCTGCACCAGTCAAAAAACAAAGTAGAGACAAGGTGGGTTGCCACTACTATGTACATAAAGGTCACTACACAATGAAAGAGGAGAGTATGCTGCCATCTAGAAACACAAGAGTAAAACTGAATCACAATTATAAAAAAAAATAAACAAAGACCAGCATAAAGAATTCTGTTGAAATGAAGACTCATAATTTATTATATAAATGACAGAATTGAAACATAACAGAGGAGTGATTAACATCTTAGCATTATATCGATTAAACTACTAGGAATAGCACTGCTATACAGTGCTGTAAAATATCTTATATTACACTGTGCTGTGATCAGGATCCTGCATCTTACGTCAAAAGCCCTTGAAAAATATAATGCTTTTAAGTGCTGAAGTATCACATGGCAGAGCCCCTGAAACACTAAGAAATGAGTCATGATGCTCACAGAACAGTGCAGGAGTCCTCCATTGCATAGAATTGGGTGAAGAGTGACTAGAGGTTATTCCATTGCCAAGAACTGTCAGTCAAACCACACAAAGTAACTCCCGAGATGCCCGGAGTGTGAAAAGGTTTAGGAAGGCTCTTTTAAATACACTAGGATCTTCAGTAACAATGTCTTTCTCATAAAAATGTAGTCAAAGAGGAGGCAGTTCCAGCATCCCCCTGAGCTCAGGACCAGGTTGTCCTCGACTTAGAGATAGATGGACGAAGTGTACCCTTTGGAACTGGCTTAGAACCAAACCAAGACATCTGTAATGAGACAAAACCATGCCCGAACAGTGTTTCATTATTTATATACTGTTAATTCAATGTTTAATCCCTTTATGAGTAAACTATCACATCTCTGACCTAAAACATAGTTTGGATGAATAAACTAAAAGAACCCCATTACCTCATTGAAATATCGCTATGTTCCAATTATTTGTTATCATTTCTGGGGGCACCAAAAATCTGTCCAGTCCATTATAGAATATCTATGTGGAATGAACAATAATTAATCTCTTTTTACACTTTTGCTTTACTGTATCTAGGACATGCCAAAGGCAAGGAATACATGAGACAATTGCTTTTAATTTTTCAGGAGGAATGAAGCATTGTTTCAATGAGCTGCAAGGGTGCAAACAAATATGGTATCATCTGTATAAATGCACAAACATATTTCTCTTCGGGCCTATTCACACCTGTGTGTTTTAAAGTATGTCAAAACATATACACAGCCATTGTTTTACATGGTGCTAATGTTCGGTTTTTGGTGGAAGTATATTAACACAAATTACAAATTGTTTTATAAAACCCACGAGCCAGGCCAATGCAATTAAAAGATCTAAATTTTTGAAACTTTTTCTGTGGTTGTAAAAGGAAGCACATGTGCTCTCAGTATTTAACTCTAAGAGCACTGCCTAGGGGGATTTTTCGTGTGCAACACCTTGAAGATCACTTTTACACATCAGTCTTTTTATGCACCAGCACGTTAATTAAAGAATTGGAGGACGATCACCATACCCTTCAAAAATCTATGTTATTAATTTATAGTTTGCACTTTTAAATTATTTTTAGTTTGTGGTTTCTGACACCTCACGGTTTAAATATTTAGAGGTCTGTATATTCAGACAGGGGATCGCATCACCACAATTGTTTTGCATATAGTTGCGGTATACACTGAGTGTAATGTTTATGGACAATATTTATTTCACTGTTATCATTGGTTCATAAATGGTACCTCATTTTTTCACTCTTTATATTTCATAATAAGTTTTTGTGTGTATCCACAGTTTGGGAATAAGCACATATGTGTCACAGAGGAATTTACATTTATCACAGCACTCGATAGTGTTTTCATTTATTTAGTTTAAACACTGAAGGGGATTTAGCGCCGCAAAACCTTTATCCAATGTCTTAGGGCTTCCAGCCTGTATTGCGGCAGCTTTAGTCTTTCACTTCAATTTCTTACATTATTAGCAAACCATCCACAAGCGCAGATCATATACAAATGCTAAGGTTGGCCTGTGTTTACTAGTAACTGAATGTACAGGAAAGAAAACCACTAAACCAGTTGTGTAAGGTTCAGAATTTTTTCTTTATTATTAATTGTTGTGTTCGGTAAGAAACCAAAGCATTTTAGGGCCTCTGAAGGTCTTCCTTTATTAGGGCAAACATTTTTTTTTTTATTCAAATGTACATTATCTATATGGTTGACATTGAGTTAATATATGTTCCTGACCCTGTAGAATTTCATCTGCTTACAGTTTTCCTTTTTTTTTAACATTAATTTTTATTAAGGTTAACAGCATAAACAGAAGGCACAAATGCAGTCAAATATAAAAAAAAGAGATGTAAATTACAAAACATATTGGGGGGAATTTATCAAAACTGGAGAAGACAAAATCGAGAGCAGCTGTGTAGGCAACCAATCAGCTTCCCTCTTCAGTTTGTGTATGTAACGAGCCCCTGCTCGCTCGGTTCCACTCTCCCGGCACTCCTCTGCTACTAATGAATCAGATGTCAGACTGCAACGTCTGATTCTTCGATCGTCCGATAATCCGGGATTCGAACTACAGCTATGTGCCGTTCGAATCCAGCTCAGAACAAACACCAGGCAGGCTGTATGTAAGTTCCAACAGGGATCTGCTTTATTGAAGACCAGCTCAGTATATATACAGTCCAAGAAGTCTAAACACATAACGCAATCAAACATGAACAGCATGCAAACATCCACTCCCCCTCCCCGATGCCTTAATGAATGAATAGGGAGGGAGGAGACACATGTGATGGGATTATCTCCTGAGTGTATCATAGTGTGATTTACTCATCTACACCTGGAGTCAGCTACTCCTAGAATCAGCTATCCTAATCCCATCATCAACACAATACAACAAAAGGGGCCAATAAACTGTAACAGTTCAATGTCCAGAATTATCCCCCTTCAGTGCTCCTGGAGTCACAGCCTGTACCTATAATACACACAGGGCCATCCAAATGTAATGCCAGGGAACATGTACAGTACATCCCCCCCCACATAAACCTGGTAGAATGGTTCATTGTAACCCCAAGAGGTCCGAGGGGGGTCTCCATAGTTCCGGGTCCATAGTCAGTTGGAAGGAGGCTAGCCCCCAGGCTCCTCCAACAGCACCAGTGACGGTTCAGTCCGTCACAGTGTAGTTAAGATTTGAAAATGAAAGAGAGAGGCTGATTGTTTGCCATGCACAGCTGCTTCAGATTTTGTCTGCTCCAGTTTTGATGAATTTCCTTCCTTGTGTTGAGAAAAAGTATATAAAATGAATGGTCCATACTGCAACCTTTTTTCAAGTATAACCACAAAACAGTAACCGTGAGAGCAAAAGTGAAAAATAAAAAGAAAGGGAGGAGAAAGAAAAATAGAAAGGTAAGCCGAAGAGAGAGGAGAGAGATAAGAAGATAAGATTACACATCACCTGAACACTTTAACTATCAAAAAGACATTGTTCACCCCTACTTCCTACCGCACACCCACCGCAGAACAAATTCTCATGTCGTAACCTCCCACAACAACAAAATATAGTGACGGTAGAGCATCCCTCGTTAGGGCAGTAAGTCTACCATCCAACTTCCTTTCAAGAAACCACAACTCGTGTTGGAACATTTTCATAATATCTTGGAATTGAGAAAGGTTTAATTCTAAAAGCAGGTATTTAGACCATGCATTGAAAAGGTTAGTCTGTCTGATCCTGAGGGTATGATGAGGCATGAATCTTATCAAAAAGCATCAGCTTGTACAGAATTGGTTGTAAGTCATCTAACTCTGGGGCACAGTGGTGAAAGCCAATGGAGGAGAATGGCTTTTTTGATACCTAAAATACATAAGTGTTCCCATTTACTCAATCGAGGTGTCCCAACTGCTGTTCTTGAGGTAGAGAGTGAAATAACAAATAACAGATTGAGAGGCCTCACAACACCAGTGATCTTCGCCATATAGCTCAGTGCTTGATCCAAGAACCCTACAATCTTGTTACATGAACAAAACTAATGAGTAAGGTCTGGTAAGGGTTGGTCACACTTCGGACAACGGGTCTGCCAAGTAGAGGAGGGATCTCTGCGTGGTATATGGAACGCCCAATAAGCACAATGTGAATGTTTAAATCGAATTTCCCTCTATTGTTCCCCCACTGTTGCCTTTTTTTGTGTGTAAAGATTAGAAGTTTATTAATTAGATTTTCATGGAGTACAAGCATATTAACATACCATACAATCAGCATTAGACATTGCTTAGTACAGAAAAACAGAACAGTATATCCCAGTGAAACATAAGAAAGGAATCGCATTGAATAGAGAAATAAGACACCTCTATATCTATTCAGGTAATCTGGACTGATCGATGCAGGGCAATTATTCTCTGAGGTGTCGCTTTAGGGAGGGTGAAAATTAAGACACAAAGTCGTACTTGAGCAGAGCCATTGTATCGAGATAGTGGATGTCCATTTTGTATAGAGCCATGCGGCCAAACCAGGAATGAGATTTAGTCAGCCAAAATTTTAGTTTTTGGGAGATAGAGGACAGCAGTGGTTTATAATTTAAGTCATAGAGGAGTTCAAGGCAGGAGGGCAATAGTACCCCCAGGTATTTCAGGGACTGTGGTTGCCATGTGAAGGGATAAGATGTCTGTATCGGGATAACCTCCCGCCGGTCTAAGGTGACATTTAATGCTTCTGTCTTGCGTGTGTTAACTTTAAAGTTGCTCAGAGAGCCAAAAGAGTGAAATTCCCGTAACAGTGCGGGACAGGCTTCACTAGGATTGGAGACATACAGCAGCAGGTCATCCGCAAACAGACCTAGTTTGTATTCACGGGAGCCCAGGGTCAGTCCTCGAATCAGGGGGTTATTTCTAATCGCTTTGCCAGGTGTTCCATAGCAAGTATGTAGAGGTATGGGGAGAGCGGGCAACCCTGACGCGTACCGTTATGAACTTGGAAAGGATCAGAAAGGATACCATTATTAACCCTAATCCGGGCAGAAGGTTTATCATATAGCGCCATCATTTTGGTGAGGAACAGTGGGGGAATGCCTACTTGGGCAAGGGTCTCAAAAAGGAAGGGCCAGCTCAGATGATCGAAGGCCTTCTCTGCATCGATGGACAACAGGCAAAGGGGGATATTCCGCGTCTTAGCCCAAGACATAAGTGTTAATGTTTTTATGGTGTTGTCTCTGGCCTCTCTGTTGGGAACAAACCCTACCTGGTCAAGGTGGATCAAAGAGGGGATATGAGATTTAAGACAATTTGCTATAATTTCCGCATAGAGCTTTAGGTCAACGTTAATGAGGGAGATCGGTCTATAACTAGCACAGTTCGAGGGGTCCTTATGTTCTTTCGCGGATGACAGTGATGTGGGCCTCCTGAGATTGAGATGTGAAGGGGCAGGAGTCAGAAACGGCGTTAAATGCGGATAACAAAATAGGAGAAAGGGAATCTCGTAATTGAGTGTAGAAAAAAGACGTGTAGCCGTCAGGGCCCGGAATTTTTCCGGCAGGTATGGAATTAATAGTCTCAGTGACTTCCAGAAGTGAGAAGGGGTCAGACAGGGAAACAATGGCAGATTCAGATAAGGAGGGTAAACTAGTGGAGGACACATATGCACGGATATCTTCAGTCAAACGATTGAGAGGAGAAGAGGTTATGGGTGCAATATTATATAGAGCGGAGTAATAATGCTGAAAAGCCTTAGCTGTTCGCTCACATGTATGGACCCGACCTTGTACAGGGCAGGTGATTTTAGAAA